CCCAAACACCTCCTTCGTGACCTTTTAAAACCTTTAATAGCTCTCCTGTTTTTGTACTGTATATATTAATTAGTTTATCATCAACACCTGTTATAATTTTTTCATCATCGTGTTGCAAACATGTCACAACGTGGCTACCGTGTCCAGGAACACTAATTCGTTTAGGTTCATAAGTAGGATCCATCCACCGGTTTAAGATAGTGCAACGTTTCTTGTACAAGGTTTGTACTACATTCGCTTCACTTGTATCTGACTTTAAGGACCAATCTTTCAACAATTTTTCTGGATTGGAAATTTCCTGCTCAATTGCTTCGTCACTTGTAATAAGCTTGTCTTTCTTGAGTAGTTGTGTCCAGATGTTTGAATTGTCAATAATCTTGTACCAGCTCGAACACACACGAGCAAGCGAACATAATGTTTTATAATCTAAGTGTGATAAGATGTTGTACGTTATTTCAAGAGGTAAGTTACTTATCAAATCCCTCTTCAAGCTATTTTCAATCAAACCGCTAAACGTACTTAATGAAGGTCTATTGGTATTCTGCAATAACCTAAATATAAAATTATTCTGGTTCTTTTCATTCAAGTATCCTGAAAGATTCATCATCATTTCCATCAACTCCGATTGCGTTGTAGGTATATTGGATAATTGGTGCTCTATAGGATCGAAATTTGAAATTTTATCTCCTGTAGATTGTACAGGCGATGCACTTGGGGAAGGCAACGGTAACTGTTGTGACTGCTCTTCAATATCGGATATAGGAGTATTGGTAGGAGAATTCACTTCGGTAGGTGTACGTGGTTGCACTATTATGTGCTCTTGGTTGTTCTGATTGGTTTGTGATATGGTTTCATTACTATTGTTGTTTTCAGTGACAGTTGGAGTAACAGTATTCGTTGGTGATGGTACACTCATTAATCTCCGCTTGGGAGGATGCACCAATCCGTTCTCCCTGAAAGATGATATACCCGATATTATAGCACTCTGACCCGATATTTGGCTATTACAGTCGGTGTCTGAAATAATCATGTCGTCACAGGACTCGGTACCCTCTCTATCATAGCCATCGTCTTCGCCCGCCGTCTCCTCTTTATTTCTTATCCTCTTTCTGCTCTCACGTCCCAGTTGATCAGATATTATTGACAACTTTTGATATTCATTCTGTAACCAAATATCTGAAAGTTTACCGTTGAGATTAACTGGTTTACAGTCATATTTGGGAATAGCATCTTGTAACGGGTACAAGGGTGGTTGGTTATTAGCACTCATATAGTTCCTCTTATATTGCCTTTGTATCCGCTCTAGGACTCATATATTGAATCCTTAACTTATTTATGTTTATTATTTTTGTTTAAGTATTAACACCACTGACTGGTACGTGTGTGGATTTATGGTTTATTCTAATATTCAAAAAGTTTCGATATTCAACACTTTTACTTTCTTAATCTTCAACAGAGTAATCCAACACGTAGTCTCGGTGTTTTCAAATGCCACTATGTTACGTATGTACTTTCTGGCTTTGGCCTTGTTGATATTTTATCTATAACTCCTTTCGTTCTTTATTAGATTTAGTATACAGGAGTAATTATGAAAAAAAAAAAACCACAATAGAAAAGAATTTTGTACCTCATACCGGAAACTACAAATACGAATCAGAATTAATATCGATGAGTCAAAATAAACACTAGTATATTATAGTCTATGTAGGAAATAATCAAGCAAAGTAAAGTAGTAAACTATATAATTCAAATGTTGTTGATCATAATACCTGGTTCACCAGGAACAGCGCTGTCAATGATTTTACCAGTGACAGTGATTTCTACTTCTTCGCCAGTCAAGATGTTTTTACCCTTCTTAGCACCGTTGTCGAAGGAGACGATTTCAACTTCTTGGATATCGACAGAAATAGAAGACTTTTGTACGTTGGCTAAGACCGACTTGATGACATCGATTTCATTAAAGGTCAATTCTCTGTTGAAGACGGTTTGTGGATCTTCGTTAGCTAATCTTTGTTTTAATAAAGAAATGAAAGGCATGGCACGCTTCATGTCTTTACCAACCTTTTCCTTGATGGCCTTGTTGTCGTCCAAGGTTTGGGATTCGAATAATTGTCTGACAAGTTCGATATAGTTGTCCTGCCATTCTGGGAAAGAAGTAGCAACAAACAATCTCAATTTAGCAGGCTTGGAAGGATCAACTTCCGATGGCTTACCCTTCTTCTTCTTCAAGACATTACCTTCGGCTTCACGAATGGATCTAGATAAGTCTCTAACATAATCTAAGGCATCTAAAACGGATTTGTCCACAGGTTTGGAGGCACTTGGGAATTTAGTGGTTTGGATGGATCCACTATTGCCTAAGACTTCACGGAAAATGTACTCACTGAAATGTGGTGCAACTGGGGCCAATAATAATGCTTGAGTCTCGATGTATCTAAAAACCATATCCTTATGCATACCGATGTTAGAAGATACAGAGTCTCTGTAGTAATCTCTAGCAGTTTGGTAATCAAACAAACCGTATTTCAAACCAGCCTTAAAGTTAGTTGCTTCGAATTGAACATGTGTTTTGGCAATTAAATCATTCATTTCATTTTCAAAGGCAATATCAAAGAATGAGTCAGCAGGACCAGTTCTTAATGAATCCTTGTTTTTGACAACTTCTTCGCACCACTCTTTTAAGGTAGTCAAACGTAAAATTGCCGCATTGGCGTTAGATTCGTCAAAGTTGGCATCTTCTACAGTATCACCGGCATCAGCTAAAGCAATTCTTGAAGCATCAGCACCAAATTTTTCAACAATTTGCTCTAATGTCATGAAGTTACCTGTAGATTTGGACATCTTAGCGTTGTTCAACATCAAGTGACCATTACTTCTAATACCCTTTGGCCATAATTTCTTTGGGAATAAGGCAACGTGAGTGTAGATGAAGAAAGTTAAATGGTTTGGAATTAAGTCCTTACCAGAAACTCTGACATCCAATGGGTAGAAATATTCGAATTCTCTTCTCATTTCCTTTAATTGGTCGATTGGAATATCAGTCTTGATATCTTCACGACGATTAAAGATGTAGTCAAAAACGTCATCAGTCATCAATTCTGGTTTGATGTCAAATTTACCTGCCTTAGCACCATAGTAATCTGAGTGCAAGAAACGGGCAATAGTATAATAGGCCATATAAATAGTTGAATCTGATAAGGATTCGACCAAGTATTGCTTATCCCATGGTAATCTGGTACCCAAACCAAAATTTCTGGTAACAGCCCAGTTCTTTAACCAATCTAAGACACCTTCAAAACCATGTCTAGTTTCCTTTGAGAATGTTTGCATATCTGCTAAGCATTCTAAAGCTTGAGATTTCCAAGATTCTTCACCGTAATCAATATACCATTGGTCTTCCAAGGAAACAATACATTCATCCCCAGATCTAGAAATAACAAGACCTTCAGGTTCATTATAAACAAACGCATCATTGGTAGCGATAAAATCAGCTCTAACCTTTCTTTTAGCATCTTCAACTGAATCACCAATGTATTTTCCATAAATCATTTTACCATTGTAAAAACCTTCCTTGTAAGCGGCTTCCTTTGCTTCAGCTAATTGAACTGAATCTTTAGGAGATTGAATCTTTAATTGTTTCACTAAAAATTCAGCACATTTATCACCGTATTTTTGAGTCCTGATAAGTGGAATGATATCAGTACAAACCCATTCTTTTTCGATGTTATAATATTCTGGTTTGTTAGCCAAATCCATGGTGGTAATGTAATCATCTGGAGAATCAGATGGAACACAAGTGACAACACCTGTACCCTTTGAAGCCAATACTGTTTCCATAGGCAAAACACGTAATTCCTTGTGCACAGCTAATGGAGCATGAATTTTGGAACCAATCAAAGTCTTACCATTGATTTTAACACTTGCCTTATATTCACCTCTCTTAGGTGTCAAGTTTTGATATGACATATTCTTGAAAGCACGTTCAGTACAAATATAATAATTGCCATTACCAGCATCGAAAACACCATAGTCAATCTTTGGTGAAACAAAACAACAAGTTTGACCGTACATGGTTTCAGGTCTTAAAGTTGCAGCAACTAAGTACACCTTCTTACCTTCAAGGTCAAAATTATTTTCTTGGAAGACTTGTTTTGCTTGTTCTGCAAATTCAGTAACTTCGATCTTAATACCAGTATATTCTTGTGGGTTAACACCTTCCCCTGATTGTCTATCATGATCTAAACAAGCTTGTCCATCCTTCTCGGAGTAGATTGTGTATCTTTCACCAAACTTAATCTTACCGCAATCTCTTAATCTATTAATCTGCCATCTTACAAATGCATCATAATAAGGATTAGCATCAGTAGTAACAAAAGAACGTCTCCAATCAACTCTACCACCAAAGGCAGTAACGTCTTTCTGGACTAAAGGAGGGAAGTATTTAAGCCAATAATCTGGATCAGCAAACTTCACAACCTCTTCCTTACTAATACCTAATTGTAACATGATTTCGAATTGGTATTTACCTCTACCTTGCTTAGCAGCAGCCTTGGACTTCTTAGCAGTGAACTTGGTGACATCATCCTTCTTGACCTTTTCTTTAGGTACCTCTTCAACGTCATCAGCTGGGGCTCCAGAGAAATCTTCTCCAAATTCTTCAATTTCTCTCTTGATTTTATCAGCAGATGCCTTAATTGGCATACCAGTACAGTGGAATCCTAATGGAAATAATGCTCTCTTACCGTTCATTCTTTCGAAACCAGTAGAGAACTCAACCTTGGATAAGGTGAAACTGTGGCCAGCGTGTAAAACACCGTTCATGTATGGATAAGCCATAGTAGCGAAATACTTAGGATATTTCTTTCTTAATTCCTCTGCATCATCAATTGATGGTTCTTCTTCGATAGTAGGCGCATCAACTTCAAATACTTTATCGTCAGCCCAAACCTTTTGATATTTCTTTTCTATATCAATTAAAGCATCTCTACGGGCAGTATTTTCTAACTTAATAGTGGCACTCATGTCGTCTAAAGGGCTTTGAATGATCTAACCGGAAACTTCGAATCTGCTGAAAAAAAGTTCAAAATATTCTTTCATAGTGTAGTGCAGATAACAATTTCTTTTTGTCTGAAAAAATGCCCCAGTGAGTCAGTTCTTCTGTACAGAACACAGTTGCAACCAATACATACTTTGACGTAAATCTCTATAAATTAGCGTATATTGTTTTCTATAATCATTTTTTGCGTACTCTACGTTGTAATGCTGGTGGTATCATCAATTTTTGTTTTTTCGTTGGTATGTTTGTTCCACTCAGTAGTCTGTTAAGGTCACTCTTCAGCCCAACTTGAAGTAACCTTCCTTCAAGTTCTTCAGTAGTTAAAATCATAGAAGCTTTACCAGCATCAGAAGCTAGTTCAAATTCAGCCAAAGCCGCCTCCTGTTTCGGAAATACCTCAACGTGACGAACTGGACCAACTCTTTTAGTAAGAAATGCAGTCATTTGATCACGGTTTATGGTGTCACTCACATTGAATATACTAATTGTATTCAATTCTTCAAATTGATTAGAAACAGCAAGAGGATCATTTTCATGTCTATTGCTCTTTTTTGGTTGCGATGGTGAAACCAGTATTTTTCTATCGTTTAAAGTAGTTCCATTTAGTTGCACTGCATTTTTTGCTGCCACCTCTGATTTAAATACTACAAACGCATACCCATTATTAATGTTACCTTGATTTTTCATTTTTTCATTCAAAGGAATCTTTATACTTTCAATGGTTCCAACCGTCTGGAATAATGCTTCTAGATCTGATTCTGTAGTGCATTTAAAATTTAAATTCTGAACATATATTTCCCTCTCAACAACTGTAGTATCTACCTTATTCTTTTTAGAATTTGGCTTGGATATGTCCACCACAAGTGTATATTTTCTGTTAGAAATCTCGTCTACTAACTCTTTGCCTTTATAATTCAGTATTGCCAAATGAGCTAATTCAGCGCTGCCATATTCAACATAGCAGAACCTACGGCTTTGGTTCGGTTTAAGAGAAGGAAATCGGATACTTACCACGGTACCAATTTGGTCAAACATTTTCTTGACACGTTCATGAGAGAAACTTGGTGGAAAATTACTAACCCAAAGGGTGCTTTCAAGCATTCTGACAACAGATACTTCATGGCCATCAATAAGTTTCATATTTTTTGTCAAAGATGCAAATACTTCCTTACTGTCTGACCATTCTATAATTGCTTCCGGTGTTTTAGACTCTTCTTGGAATAACTTAATTTCCTTAGGAATACCACAATCTTCGAAAAATATCTCTAGTTTCTTTTCTGTTATATTTTGAGGCAAATTAGATATTTTTATTGAAAACTCTTCTCTATTTCTAGTTGATTCGTTTAATGAATTACGCCTTTGTCGCTTGCTTGATCTTTCTTCTTCTTCTTCTTCTTCTTCTTCTTCTTCGTAGTCAATGCTTCTCTTAACTTTTTCAGCTGATTCATTTTCCAGCACTTCTTGCATTTGCAACCGCTTCAAGCTCATTTCTCGAATTACTTTATCAACTTTAATTAATGCCCTTTCATATGAGTGAATGTCACCATTGATTTGCTCGTAGCTTAACCACTCTTGAATAATTCTTTCCGGCCAATCCAAGTTTTTTGAACTATTTACAGCACGTTCAAGTAATTTTGAGATTACTTCATAACCAGCATTATTCCTTCTTTCGAACTCATATAAATACAACCATATTTCACACTGTTCACCAAAACTTTCTATTAGTTGCATTAAAACTTTTCTTGCCATTTCTGGATCATCAAGAGTTTCGTATATGGACACTACAAGCTTTTCAACAGAATGAAATACATCATTATTGTTTTCCAACGCAATATCAAGATACTCAGCAGCATCAGTGTAAAGATCTGATACCATATCAATATTTTCACCACTTTTTACAAGAGAAAATTCAAATGATAGTATTGCCAACGCTAATATCTTCCAATCATCATAATTATTAGAATGCATTATATTTAATCCCAAAGCACGCGATTTCATGGCACTGAAGAGTTTAATTCCATTCTCAAATATTGGACAATTTCGAATATACTCCGCATAACTGACCGCTGACCCTGGATATGTCCTGACAAACTTGAATAATACAGGTTCAAGAGCTATTGATTTCACATCAACTTCTTCCAGGTATAGTATATATATATAAGCAAGCCAAACTGATAGCCATCGTGGATCAGCGACCGACATGTTCTCATCAGAAGATATTGCTCTATAAAATAAAACCGAAACTTCTTCTATCCCTTTTGCATATTTATTCACCAGCTCCATGTAGTCAATCCACACTTTTAGATTATTGGGATCCTTCAGAATTTGGATCTCAAATTCTTCATAATAACGCTGCGATTTGAGGGTTTTTGAAAATACTTTGTTTGCAGCTAGCATATGTTTTTCGTAGTTCTTGGAATCATACTTGGAAATTAGACTTGATAACTGAGAAAATGATTCCCTAATACTCTCATGTGGATAAGATATACGTTTTAAATGTAACTTTAATAGCGTATCAAAATCTGCTTCACTACCAGAACAATTGAGCGCATTGTTAAAGAATGTAAGTACAATCTCCCATATATCGTTGCTATTCTTGAAATCATGTACTGTATCATTCAACGCTTCCTTAAACAATTCTTTTATTGTAATTTCGCTAATTACATTCTGTTTATTATTATAATTATTCAATACGAAGTCAAGATATCGTCTCCAATACTGTGCAGTAGGATAATCATGGATAACCATTCTATAAAACTCAAGAATACTCTTAATTCTAGTATTTTTATCTTCGATTACTTGTAAATCTTCTAACCAGTCTACTATATCTCTCACCGATAGTGAAAAATATTGCGCTTTGTTACGTCTAGCTTCATGTAAGTCTTCTGTCTTCTCACTTCTGTCAATTCTTAATGTATCAATTAATTTATCATGGTCATTAGAATTATAAGGCCATTTACTTAGCAGTTCCTTTAGGTATTGAATTTCGATATCAATATCCTTATTCATCTTATCCTGAAAGCCTTTTGGTCCTAATTTTACATTCCTATCTTATGGCAGGATTCTTTAAATCAAAATACAAGTGACAGGGCGCGAAACCAGATGAACATAGAAAAAAAAAATTATACTGATAGATAGCTAGAACGCTGTACTGCAATAAGCACTATGGATGCAAAGATCTACTTACAATCCTACGGATGGAAAGAAGGAGAAGCATTAAAACAAGGTGGATTGAAAAAGCCCATTCTTGTAAAACATAAAAAGGACACTAAAGGGTTAGGGCATGATAGTAATGATGCAGAAGCATGGTGGGAAAGGCTTTTCGATGGACAGTTGAAAAACCTAGAGGTAAAAAATGGGTCTGCAGGTTCAGTTAGCTTTGAGCAGAATAGTGAGTCCGTGGTGAAAGATGTGAGAAAGGCCAATTCACCCTTATATAGGATGTTTGTTAAAGGCACAGGATTAGCTGGTACTGTTGGAAAGACCAAGCACACACAAGTCAAGAGTACTAAAATAGATGCATCCAAAGTATTTGACGCTGTGACCGAAAACCTAAAAGGGAATGAAACTACCAATTCCAAAAAGAGCAAGAAGGATAAAGAGATGAAGGCTAAAAAGGATTCACGCAATAAAAAATCTAAGAAAGATAAGAAAGATAAAACAGAGAAGAAAACAGAGAAAGTTAAGAAGAGTAAAAATTTGAAGTCGGATAAAACAGAAATAGATACTAAGGAAAGAAAGAAGGAAAAAAAGAGTAAAAAGATAAAATCCGACAAGAAAGCTAAATCAAGTAAGGAAGATGGAAAGGTACGGACAAGCACAGCAAGTAAATCTGAAAAGAAAAGGAAAAGAGAAGATAAAGTTGACAAATGTGACACTTCTTCTTCTAAGAAGAAGAAGAGATTAGCCACCTCAGATTAATCGATCATATACATGTATAATAGTTAATTTTAATAGACGATTTTGATTTTGTGTCAGTACATTCAAAGTCAGATATCAACAGTGAATAAATTGTATATATCTCTATTTTTGCATTATTTATTTCAATTATTAGCCATATGATAGAATGTCAATGAAGAATGACGTAAATTTGTCATTTAAAGTACATAATAGGATAATATCTCGTATTGGATTCTGGTTAGCGACGAGTTTTATCATTGGTTTAATAGTATGGCACAACTTCAAGTTTTGGATACTGGTTTCGTTTGGGTTTACTATTTGTCTCGCACTTGTTATTTATTCCACAATTAGAGATCCAACAACTAGAACGGTTCCTAGTTCTAGAAAAAGGTCCACACGATTTGCTTTTGTTGACCAAAAAAATTGGAACCACGAGCTTGAGAAACTCTGTAAGGACGCAAGAAAGTTTGATGAACCAATATTTGAACAATCATTTCTTATATCTGAAACTCTTGATGAGTTTGTCAACTTAATTATTAAGGAATTTATAGACAGTTGGTTTAAACAAATTTCAAGCAGTACTCTTTTTCAAGACAGTATTAAACAGGAATTGAGATACGTTATACGAAACTTGAAAGAGAGATTCGCCAAAATTGATGTTGCTAAATTATTAGTGTTTCGTATTTTACCGATAATTGATGACCATTTCAACCACTTCGTCAAAATTGAGCATAGTATTAAGCTACACGGAAATGTCTCTAAAGCGCCTTTAGGTTCAATGGAATATGCTATCTTAGTCGCCCGGCAATACGATCGAGGTCGAATTCATCCGGGTGTTACAGTTTCACTGAATTCAAATGATGTGAATGAAAAGAAGCATTTGAGAAATAAGGTTGATTCGATTCTTCCATATCTCTTATCTTCTGAAGAAGATGCCAATAAGACAGGAACTTCATTGGTAAAAGAAATTTTATCATGTACTATTTTATCAAGAGTGATTGAGCTATTAGGAGATAGTGATTTCTATAATCTCTTAATTGTGAAACTTATAGGTGATAACATCAAGCATAGGGAACAAGTTAAACAATTGAGAGCAGCATTAGAGGAGCATACTAGACCATTAAAACACCAGGCTTCAAAAAGCATTTTAATGACTTCACTGTCTAAATATCTTCAGGAATATAAAAAGCTAGTCAAAAATAGTGTTATTCAAAAACATATGGATAATCAATCCTTCAATAAAGCATTACATAGTATTTCAAAGACTACAAGTTACTCCGAACTAAGCTTTTTACTGCTGTATACAGATTTTCTGTCATTAAAAATTAAGGATGAGAATACTGGATCATCTAAAGAACTTAATGTGTTATTATCGAGGTTAAATTTGCTTAAGTCAAAAATTGATAACAAATCAGCGCAACTATCAAATACAACGGAGAAGAGATCACAGAAGACTGAGGATGTAGAAAGTTTAACATTATTAGATATAGTGAATAACAGTTCAGGTTTAAAATTCTTTATCGAATTTATGAATGACAGGAAAAGATCAGAATTGTTTCAACTTTGGTTAGCTATTGATGGAATTAGAGCTCCACTTGAGGATATTGATATTGAGGACGATGGAGAAGCCCGATTATCATTATCTCTTGAGTTCTCTAATGTAGAAGATATCACAAAGATCTATAAGGAGTTCTTTGAGAATCCAAGTATCGACATTAATCAAGACATATATGGCATAGTCAAAAAATTCATCAATAATAAGGATCATATGATCAAAGTAGAATTATACCATAAAGCCAGAAAAGCGCTTTTCAAGTTACAAAATAATATTTATGAATGCATTAGTAACGATGATTTTCCACAATTTAAGAAATCAGAGATGTTTTTAAAATTATTCGAAACGCACATTTTCGATTCAAGGCCGCATGAAGTTGATTCACCGAAGTCATGGTCAAAATCTGGGAAATCGAATTTCAATAAGGTGACTGATGTTTTAGAAGATTCTAGCGAGAGTGAAGTTGAAGAAGTTAGTCCTGGTGTTATCAAGGCTGTCGAAGATGCATTTACTCAAATTATGAACAATTCTGAAGAGAACAAAAGTGAAGTAAGAAAAGATTCCAAAGATTCGAAAATATATGCCACATCCGCAGACTTACCAGATCTGAATTCAAATAATCCGGTTCTGACAATCCATTTGAAAAGAGATTTATTTGGTGAATCTTCTAATTTGTTTAGTAATGATAGTATTAAATTCTCAACTAATAGCAGAAACACTAAATTATTTGATGATATAAGTGATGAATCTTTTTCTGATAGTGATTCAATAAACTTCGATTCAGACTCTCAAAATCAAAGCTTGGGCTTGCTGAACCCTTCACATTCCGATCTGCAAATATTCTTAGCCGCGCCCGGTAATCTACGTCTAGCTGAAGAAATATCTAAATTAAGTGAAGAGATTGAGAAGTTATTTGAGCAACAAGCCGTTCTAAACCCATTAATAAAAAAGGCAGAGCTAACTAATAACGTTAGTGAATTAAAGATTTTAAGGAAATCTAAAATTAGTTTAGATAGAGAAATTAATGCGAAGGAATTGCAAAAGCAGCAATTTATTGTTCAAGAAAACGACAACAGTTTGTATGGAAAGTCTAGGGTAAGTATTCAGTCATATATTAGTGGGAACGAAAATGGAAAAGACTTTATTCTCTATATTGTTGAGGTACAAAAGTTGTCCGGTGATGATGAAAACAATGTTACTGCTGGATGGATTGTAGCAAGAAGATTCAGCCAATTTTTTAGATTAAACGAATACTTAAAATCTCGATACCCACCAGTAATGAATATGAAATTTCCCAAAAGGACAGTTCTGGTTTTGAAATTTCAACAGAAGCAAATAGTCGAGCAAAGAAAAGCCTTACTTGAAGAATACCTACAACAGTTATTAAGGATACCTGAAGTTTGTTCTAACAAAGTGTTCAGATCCTTTCTCTCTTCTGAAACTTTTATTTTGAGAAATAACCAATCAATTGACGGTAATGCTAATGTTAATTTGAGTAAACTAAAAGCCAGTGTTGAGATAGTGGCAAATAAGCTTTATAACGGCATCTCGGGCAAAATTGCGCTGAACGCATTTGGTAATACGGATAGGAGTTTATCAGATCCAGCATTGGAAACATATATTAAAGATATGCAGAATGAATTGAAACAGTTTGATGAGGCTGAACACTCAAATAGCACTGAAAAACCTGTTTTCGTCAAGCCTATTTGCGATCTATTAATATCAGTTTTCAGACTTAATACCCCGAAGAGTTGGCTACGAGGCAGGGCCCTTTTGGTCATCCTACATCAAGTATTTGGGAACACTCTCGAGAAAAAAGTGTATGAAGTAATGGATTATTTTTTGAAAACAGAAGAGAATGTGCTCGATATATTAATATGGGGAAAGAATATTATATTCCCCATGGGGAGATTCATGGAGTCGCCAGAGCCACGAAACTCGTATCAGAGGTCTACAACGAAGCAAGAAGCCAAGGTCCTATTCGAAATATTCATGCAAGAAACCTGTTCCAAAATTTTTGGCTTAGCGAACACGACATATGCATGTAATAACATACTTGAAATGCTTCAAAATGATTTTCTTAACAAGCATCTAATTTTGCAAGTTTTCGACGAGATATTACGTCAATTGTTTCCAGAAGCAACTATCGATGTATCATCAGTGTCTGTATAGTAGTTCGTAAATTATATCTAGGAAACATCTTTAATGTTCTATGTAGTTATATCGTGACCTGGGCACTGTGATTGTCCGAGGAAGCCGGTTGCGAGCGATGTGCATAATCGTCATACCAAGAACTTTTGGTGGAAAACATATATAAAGCAGATAAGCCGAATTGATTCAAGTCTTTATTATAATAAGTGTCAAAATGGTCGCAAATGATCCAAAGAATCCGCCTAGTGTTCCGGAAGGCTGGTTAGCCAAATTCGATGATAAATATAATACATTTTTCTATGTAAACCTAGAAACTAAGAAGTCACAATGGGAACCACCTGAACCTAAGTCTGCCGACGACGTGTTGCCTCCTCCTTATAGTCCCACATCATCCAATGCTAAACCAAAAGTTCAAAGTCAGGCTTCACCACAAGCTCAACCACAAGCTCAACCACAAGCTAGACATAATCCGCAACAAGCATACCCGCAACAGCAATATCCTCCTCAGCAATATCCTCAACAATATCCACCCCAAGGATACGGGTATCCTCCACAACAATATGGTTACCCACAACAACAGCAATACGTACAACAGAGACCACAAGGGTCCCGTTTTGGTGGAATGGGTGGCTTAGGTATGGGGCTTGGTGGTGGTATGCTCGGTGGTATGCTTTTAGGTAACATGATGAACAACAATGAGATGGAAGCGTATCACGATGGTTACCAAGATGGAGGTATGAATGGTGGTGACGATTTCGGTGGTGGTGACATGGGCGGTGACATGGGTGGTGGTGATTTCTGAGTTTTTCACTAATCTGAGTTTCCGACTCGATCTTACATATTCGCTCCTTATTTAGACTAAAATAAACGTTCCCTAAATGTATATCTAATAATTATTCTATACGATTTTGGTTGTAGTTCAATTATACGTATGCTGTTTTGTATATTATGGTATATGTCATGTGAATGCCTGAAATATAGGAAATAATACTAGACAGTTATGACAGATATATATGAGGATTAAATACTACAAAGTTAGTAATATATCTCATATTTTAAAGGATATGATATTTTCAATCTTCTTTCCAGGCTGTTTTTAATCTATAAAAACAGTTAAAAGGATGAAACAGCATATATGCAAGGGGACTTATGTTGAAGATTTCGATAACCAATTGACTTGGTTATCAATAAACTTGCATATTTCCGTATTATCTCGGCCAAAATACTTAAAGTAAAGTTTCTTTATACATAGGGCTCTTTGCATATTAGACCATTGATTTAATTCAAAATCTATTGTAATAGTATCGTTTGCAGCCAATCTTCTTTCAAATGAAAAGCCTTTGTACATCCTATAGTTCAATCTTTTATTAGCCTTATCATATATTTTCTTCCTCAGCATAATCTCAGCTGGGTCAAGTTTTGGAAAACGGCAATGCATTGCGAAAATTGGATTATCATTATCTGAAGTAAAATGATCTTTCATAATTTTCTTCGCATGTTGAACACTCTCATTGAGCGGTACGTTTTTCTTCTCCTGCTCTGTAAGAGGTTTCAAAACTTTTTCCTTGAATATTTCATAATCTTTGACTGGATTCTTCTGTGCCATTGCTTTCCCTTGATAAGGATTGTTTCTACCATAATGTCCTATGCTCTTAATAGAAGATTTCAATTGATAGAACTCTTGTTTTAATACAGTTGCAGCGGCTGCAAAAGTATCTTTATCACCTTCCCCTAACTCACCCAAAGAAAATAACTTATAATACAATTTGGGTCCGTACAAATTATAATACAACGATAACAACAAGGTTCTCCCATGCGATAGCTTATTAATAAAGAGTTGGCCCGATTCCGTTGATACATTAGGAACAGCACCCTCTAAGTCATGGAAGGGTACAGAATTCGTTTCATTCTCCGACAAGTTATCCTCACTTTCTACACAGCTTATTGGAAGACGCAGATATCTGGCTCGTTTTCTCTCATTGACCACAACACCTGAAATGTTATAGAAATGTGGAGAGATTGTACGTTCCGAGTAGTCAGGCCAGGTAATCATTCCGTATTTCTTGAATAGATCACTATCAAAAAATGGGTCAGGGTTTTCTATCACAATATTATCGGAATCTAACAATAAAACGTTTTGAAAAGAAGATGCTAATAAGGCCAATGATTTAAACTGATATGATTTAATTTTATTATTCCATGCTTGCATTGCTGCTGCTCCAAAAGCCTCAGGTATAACAACACATGAAGCATTAAGTTTAGGAAGAATTTCAATACAAAACTCAAGTTCTTCATTGAAATCACCTTGTGTGGGTAATACAAATTCCACTGGCAATATGGACCCTGTCTCTCTCAAGCCCAAAAGTGATAAATAAGATAGCCAGGAATATCTTCCTCCACCAACAAATACAATTCCATTAGTACCCAGGCGATAACTTGTTGTAGGTAATGTTGATGGCAACCCTTCGAGTAGGCTTTTATGTCTTGTTTTCAACTCTTTTAACACTTTGTCAGGTATAACTGCCTTAGATAACAATGCTTCTTTCGTATTCTTTATTTTCTTACCAGCAGTATTAGTGTAACTTACTGCGTTTCTATACTCATAGTTGCTTAGGCGTAATCTGTTGTCCCCTACAAGTTGGAATATTTCATCCCAAAATTTATATACTTCGGCTTTTTTTGCATCAACTCTCCTGATATCCTCATAGCCAAATATGTCATCCGAACTAGCATGCCCATTGATTGAAATATGAGTTAGATAATCAATATATTTCCTTGAAGTTTCGCTAATCGTTATGAAGATTAACAATATAATTACTGCCCCAAAAATTGACCACTTCGCTTTCAGAAACCGCAAATGTTTTTTAATGAATATCATCTAGTGGAAGAGATATTATGGGTTTTTCATGGCTAATTCTGCAATTTATATATGGGAAACTATATAAAATATACTTTTTACATGAGCATATAAACTGCAGAGAAACGCACGAAGTACATGTGGTACATGTGGTACGTGTGTATATCCAGTATATACTAACTCTATGTGCCCAAGTCGTCTAAATCCCAAGCACTAGGGGTAGCATATTTCAGTAAGATTTTTATTCCTTGTTTAGTCCACTTAAATGACGGCTGATTCATATACAGAACATAATAGTCAAAACGTTTCAATAATACTATGGTAATGTGAATTTTGTTTTCAGCTTTCGTAAATCTTGCCGCAGCAAATTTATAATAACTATAAATATAGCCATAAAATTAAGCATATTTCAATGTTGCAGGATATAAAATAAGCCTTGCCAAGGGAATATACGAGCGTATAGAATATTAAATATTTTCTAGTTGGCAATAATTGCAAAGCAAAAGTAGCTTAAAATAGAAGTCCATACCATTAGTCTTTGTGAATACATGGATAACAAAATATTAATATTTTAGTAAGGCGAAAGAATAACTTTCACTATAACTAACTTCTCTAGTAATAAATCAGTTTAAATAATAGCGTTCTATATATTATATAGCATCTAAAAATAGCTAAGTATTGTCATATATTTCCATATGCAGTATATGCAGTATACTCCTACTTTTAGATAATTGCGTCCATGTAGAAATTACTTGACGTGAAGGCTTGACAATGTCAGTCTTGACGCAAAAGCCTTCAATATTTCTAGTGGATATTAGTATAAAATAAGAACAGTAACATTTGATGTTATATGGAGATTATTTAAACCGTAAAGAATTTCACATCGTTAAGAAGATAATCTGACATACCATATGTGGATGTATATTGGAAAGTATTTGATAAATACCGTTCGAGTTTCCCTAACTGAGCCTTATTTCGACTTACTGTTGGGCAAAATTAACAAAGCAATAAAAATGATCTTAAAGGATAGATAAGCTTCTTGGTGTGGATAGAAAGTACATGATGTGTTTCACCAATTCCCAATTCCTCCTTTATTTAAATTGCATTCAAAGTTATTGTGTTTTGAATTGGGTAAGTTTGCATAAGCTTTTTACCCTTGCAATGTTTTACCAAAAACATGGCTTACCCACTCTACTCTTCCATTATTTTGGCACTAGGATCAACTTTATTCTTGCTTCTAGATGATACTTCATGAATTATATATTCTTGGGCAATCGATTACCTCTCTTTCTTTAACTTTTTTTTTCTATTTCTTTAGAAGTTTTATAACTCGTCGTGTTTGCGGCCTGGTTAACATCCGTTAAAATTCTGATGTGCATTGCAACCAAACCCTTTCCATGCATTACCATCTATTCCATTCTTAACATAACCTACCCAATTACCATCATGAGTTAGTTTCAAACACCATGTCTTACATGTGTTTGTATGCTTCTCTAAAAACTTGCTTATTGCCCCTAATACTTTATGCACCTCTACAGTAGAAGAACATTTCTCTTCTCCACTGCTCTTAACCCCTATGCGCAACACCCTTTCACCATTACCAGTCATAAAATAATATTGTACAATTCTACATTGATAATCTTCTACAGGAATCAATTTAGCAATTATGAATTGTCCTACTTGAATTACGGTACATGACACCTCTCTGTAAACTCCATTGATCTTTTCTATCCAGCTTCTGTTCACATTCCTAGTTTTATACAAAACAGTTCCTCTTTCTTATCCTCAAAAAAAGCAAAATCATCTATTTCACTATCAATATTACTTCTTGTCAAATTGACAACATGGCAGTATGTATGCAAGTCATCTATGCTGATTTCACCTAAATCTGTGTTATTCACATTGTGATTCTTACCATGGAGATTCTCACCATTGATCCTTTTAATATTGCGATACTATAAATATAAATGCACTGATGCTTACGATTATCAGAAACCAAGAACTCGTCAATCTTGTCATATATCTAATTATTCATAGATTT